TACTTCTACTTCTACTACTACTGCTGCTACTTCTAGTACTAGTACTCGTACTAGTACTAGGAGCGGGAGCGGAGCAGCAGCAGGAGCACAAGTAGGAGGAGCGAGTAGCAGGGGGAGTAGTAGTAGGAGGACTTGGCCTGACTAAGAATAGGCACCACATAGAATGAAGCCAGCACCGGCCTCTGTAGCCAGGCGCTCCAACACCTCTACCCTGAGGCCTGGGCGAGTTCGTGGGCTGCCACGGACTAATTTACAAGCGTCTTACACTGTTGACACTGGTGCAAGTTCCACTGGTACCACTACTGCTGAACAGCCGTCTGAAAACCAACCACGCAAAAAAAAAAAACACTGTAAGATCCTGTGCACCCGGGGCACGCTCCCCGTAGCGCCTTTCGGGGCTGCATGCCTTGGTCCAGCTGCCCAACTGTTCAGCTCTCAGCCAAGTCGTCAGCAAGGAACTCCAAGACCCAAAAGAAGCTCCGGATAGAATGCAAACTGTCTCGGTCTGCCAACACGTCCTGTGACGTTTAATGTAATCCATTCATGAGGCATCGTGCCCCTGCGACGTGACTAGATCTGACAAGATGGCTCAACCACAGGTTTCACGGGCCGCTCTACGCATATTTGGGACCAGGGCACAGCCGACGAGGTGCGGGACTCACGGGAGGGCGAGGCTCCAGACGAGCTGGACCTGTGGAGGCTGACTTGGGGCTGCGGAAGGCATCGGGATCCGAAAGAAGTGCCCATGTCATTCCAGCCTGTTCCGTGGACCGGCGCCATGCGGGACCAACTTCTTGCCTGCCGAGCAACAGTAGCAACAGCAGCCCCAACAACTCGCCAGCTTCTGAGACCATTGACAACTTTTGCTACTGGCCCACACTGGCGCCAAACGCCGAGGGAACAACACGAGCCACTCGTCGCCCGCTGGCCTACGAGGATCGCCTTGGGATGTACCTTGCGAGTTGGGCACATGTAAAGATCTGGTCACGAGCCCCTTCCATCAGGTCGCACAGCGAAGCGGACAGAGACTTGCCACAGAGGTAGTGCCAGACTACCAATCAAAAGCTGATTGCTCCGACCCACAACCATGGCCTGTGTTGGCGGCGGCGACTGCTTCCGCTGCTCGAAAGACCCCAAGCTGCCTTAACGATGCAAAGTATTGCTGCCAAAGTCTTTCTGATAGTTAAGTCAAGTGAAAGGGACAACAAGTTGGTTGGCCATACTGTCTTTGCAAAGGTGCGCTGTGGTCTGCTATGTGTTGAATGCTGTGTCGTCGAGACGAAAAAGCTGGGACGAGTCGCGCACGTCACACCCAGCGATTTCTCCCAGCCAAGAAACGCTCCTGAAGGAAATTCTTCTTGCAGGGTTCCTTGTCCAGTTGCCGCGAGGTTTCGGTCCAAAAGAGCGTACAGGTTCTGCTACGGTCGACCTGTCTATGG